GCCATGAGCAGCAATGTGATGAACTTTCACCTAGAGATGTTACACGATTAAAGATTTAAAAGCAGTGGACTAGTTTTTGAGATAACTTATTATTCTTTGGTAAAACAGTCGCCTTCAACTGAATTGTAATAGAGCTTTCTTCCTCCTACCCAGTGTTTGAATCCAGCGCTTTGAATATAGCATTTAAACTCAAAGTTATCTCAATTTGCATAACTAAGTAGTTCGTCCCTGTAACTGAGGGCCTCAGGACCTTATAACTGACCCTTGAAGGGTTACACCTTGCTATAGTGTATAATTCCAATCGCCCGGTACGAAGACTTTTACGCTTTTCGAATAATGCTATTGTGATATCAGCGACTTTTGTATGCCTCCCACATCCTTTTTCTCCTTCAATTATTCCCGCTAAAGAAGGGTAACACGTTATAAAAATTTTCCACTTTGCAAAACAGATGCATAATTCTTAGCCTGACCCTCAAACCTTTGTAAATTTTTAATAAGTACAGTAGAAAAGTATATGAGCAGGTAAACCACAGACTCCAAATTTAATCACAGACTGACTGAACCAAGAAACGTTTATTCTCAGGAGAGTTATCATGAAATCGAAAATCCTATGTGTGCACTGAGAACAAATTCCGTTTTTTCCTTTGTCTAACTCTCCAGGATAATCTCTGTAAAAATAGCTGCTCGGTGCGCAAATAGACTTTGTTCAGTTCTTTTTTAATCAGGTCTCAACTGGACCATGCAATTATTTGATTGCTTGCAAATGACTGACTGCTTCCAACCGGAAATCTACACAATAATCGACAGACGATTATCGCCCATTTCAAAGTTTCAGAGTGCTTGAAAATCCCTAACAAAGGTTTAGACCCATACTTGTCTGCTTCCCTTGGAATTTTGACCACTACATTTAAACTTTCCCGGAAGTTCAGCTTTTTATTCCGGCCGAATTTCTGGTGCAAATCAGTTGCATTCTGAACTGATATGTTCCGTTATTCGATGCAGAACTAATGGCCAGTTGCACCGCATTTGACCTTCAAACTTGATTCCCACTGCGCACTTTTATGATTCACTTCACACCAGTACATAAATTCATCTTCAGTATGGTTTGAATCTACTTGCTAAATATATTCATTTAGCTCAGAATTCAGGAGGTAATTTGGTAGGGCCTTATGTTACCCTTGCTCTCAGGTTTTCTGCAGTAGACACCAAGATCGTTAGATGACCAAAACACCAATTAATATCCTGCAGGTTTTGCCGGCTGTTTTGGTGTCTGGCAACATTATTGTTACCCACATATCGCTCGCTTTTATTATTTTTTTCTGTCACGGATCCAAGTGGAATGTCAGTAAACATGTCTGGTTCAGCATACCTTTCATACTGTCCGCGGGGTCCACCAGCCGACGTCTACAAAGATATGGTAGTATCTGCCTTATCATATGAGGTGCACCAGTCAAGTTTTGCAGATTCTAACAGTTTGCTATCTTTTGTCACTTCAAAAAGCAGTGATGAGCATCTGGACAGGTCCGACACCCCACAAGTAGATTGAACACAATAATGGAACAAAAACGTGCAACGATTGTGGCCTAAGGGTAATCTAATTGCAGGTAACAAAATCGAAACTCCGTTTCAAGTGGACGACACTATCTCAGTCCCTTAGTAATCGGAAGTATTGAAATGACGGTTCAGATAATTCAAGTATATTACTCAATACTCCACCGCTGAGGGGATTTTTCAACCACTCGGAGCCTCAGGTCTCCCAAGGGGAGCCTAATTACAAGTGTCTATCTCTAACTATTTTGAAGAGCTAGCAGAAAAACCCGTGTCCGTGAAAAGTTAAAGTGGCCGACAGTTGCTAGGGTAATTTTTCGAATAGGTCACACAGTGGATGCACCTCAAAGCTTCCAGAAAACGGCTGCACAACCAGAACGCTTCGGCTGTTTTGAAGCTCGAAAATCAAAACAGTGAAAAACAGGCCCTCTGGTCCTTTTGCAAGTGTTTTTTAGGAACGCTGTATAATCTTAAGCATTTAAGTGTTTTTTAACATGTCTATGAATTAAGAACGTTTGTTTTGTTTCGGAATGGTGATATTCCCTAATTATACCCGTGTTATTCTAGTGAATTATCAGAATACGAAAACCGTTGAGTTTGTTACATCGCGTGCATTAAACTACTCATGATTATCCATAACTATGCGTGAGTTTTGTCAAGAAGAACTTAACAGGCACTAGTCCAGCGAACTTGTGACTTACAAGGTGTAGCAGAGTTGAATATGGGAATATTCCCAAACCTTATCATGCTGTAAGTCCTTTGGATTAAATGGAGTCTAGTGGAGTGCATGTAGCAACAGGATAATGCAAACCAAGTCTGTTTTATGCTGGAGGAACAGCTTGTGTGAACTATTGGATAACTTAAACGAGATTTTTCACAAGTCTACAGTGTCGTACACCTGAAAGCTTTGATTAGTTTCCTGTTACCGGTTATTACACCGGATGTTTTCCCCTGACACAATCTGTCAAAGCCAAATACAGCCTTGTTTGATTCATAGATGTAAAATTCATTTATGTGCAAGTTTGTAGTGAACTTGGAAGTGTGGGCATTAAAAATGTCCGCTGCGTAACTAATTACACTTTGCGTTTATAACAGAGTGGTCAAGGAGCTTATTATAGGGCGAGTGCAACAAACACTTTTTACTAAGCCGCTTGTGGTTACGCATGTATTTCAACGGTACTAACGCAAAGTTGAGGGAAGTGCTTTGGTAGAAGTGGGTTCAGGAGCACTCGGTCAGCCTAAGCAAGATGGCACCAGTCACTCATTTATCACTTAGGTCCCGACTTTATTTGTCAGTTATTCAATGTCTCAAAGTAATACCGCATATCACTTAACTAAGTGTAGGTGTTTTTTGCTAATCCATATTTTCACTGTGACGTCGCAGTACAAATAAAATGAGTTGAGTAAAACGGCTTATTGAAATTTAGCTGTAACACCTTGCCGGTGCTCAGCGGCCATGCTACCCGAAAGAAGCGCAAGAGCTGGGATACTGCCAGATTTCCCAAGCCTAGACAGGGGAAGTTGAGAGGCAGAGGTCGGGTTCGAACCACGGGCCTTCCGGTTAGTAAATTCGCCTTCTAACCACTTGGGCCATCTCGCCCTCAAAAAAGAGGCTTATTGACAATGTCGTGGAATGTAGGTAGCTGGGTTGCGCTGCTTATCACGATGCAATAGTCAGCGGAGAAATTATCACATGCCATTCATTGATACGCAATTTCTTGTACGATCAAATCATCCAAGGATTTGTTCAACACCCTCCTTGGAAATTCGAATCATGAAGGTTGAAACATAAGTAAGTAACCAAAAACAGAATCATTTCAAATTTATCCACTAAAGGTATTGCCGGGAGGCATATTTATGCTGCACACAGTACACGTAGTTTCCAGGAAAAGGCTATTTACACCGGACTTCCGGAACCTAGGACAAAGTTTTGTGCACTAGACTTAACTGGAGTGGTTTGTCCTAAAGGAGTAGTTTTATAAATTTTCAGACACTCCGTGTAAAGCAGAGCAAGTTATGAGTGTAAAACACGTAGTCATATCAATCCAGATCAAAAAGAGGAAATCACTGAATTCAACAGAAATCTTCCAAGGTATTTTGTCAGGAACGGACACTAAAATGCATATTTTATCAGGTGAAGCGTCTTTAATCCAAAGCTAATTACTCTAACCTGACGGGATGCTGTGGAGAATACGACAAGACAGTTTTCATTTGAAATTTGATGAATTGGTCTTGCGTATAGCTGGTTAGGAGAGAACCGTTCATAACAAGTTGCTTCCAGTTAACATTTTAAGGGTGTGAACTTAATGTCACGGCATCCAATAATTGTATCGGGCTTCTAACTAGTGGAGATTGTTTGCACGGTAATTTTAGGTTAGCTGGTATGTTACATTTTGAAATTTCCCCAGATTCACTCACTCTGAAGGAATTCTGTCTGCAGTAAAACGGGCTGGATTTTTAATGCTGGAGAGCAATCTGTCCAGGTGCGCTTACCACCGAATTACCTTCGTACGGCCTGCATCTGAACCATTGAGTACTTCCTTTGTAGATAAAATAATAAAGTTTGAAATATCCTGTGTGGTCTACAATGACGTGAAGGAAGATAAAAAATGCGGAAAGTCTGCTACATCACTCAGCACTTTTATGAAAACCAGCAGGCAGTAACTTCTGACTTGATATTAACCATAAAATTCTCATTGATCAAGTTGTAATTAGACATTTGAATTCGGTTTTTTTCAACTACGAAACATTCGATCTATTTAAAAGCCCGAGTGGAGAGCTCGCTGTTCACTGACTGTTTACAACTTCTTTTCACAAAATAACAGCTATGTCATAGGCGCTTTCGACTGGTATAGCCAGACGAAGATTTTTATCAGGTTTCGTTCCGGGAAAATTTAGTGAATGGCACACTTTCACCTGTCAAATCACTGTTCCTGTCGTGTGATCGAATTTTAAATTGTACTGCTTAGGTCCAGTTAGTATCACATATGTTGAAGCTCTGCAATGAACAAGCATTCACAGTTGTAATTAATATGAACTTTTAAATTGACCTACATCAATTGTTCGCAGTCGCACCCTTGCCCACGAGAATCAAGATATAAAACAGACTTTCCACATATATTCTTCTCTTTTTGTTGTTCCCTTCGTGACGAGATCATCAGCCTGTGGTTGTATTCTTATAGTGGAGCCCCACAAATTTCAAATTCTACAACAAGTGCTCTGCCGTATTTGTAGGGGGGTCATGGATCTTGTCGGTAACGAATGACCGGATAACTGCAGGTAGATCATGGATGTATCAACAAGTGCCACCTATTATTTGAGAATGAACAAAATGCTTAACGTGGAATTGACAATCGCATGTACTCAGGAGTTCTTTTGAAACCGGTTCAAATGACTTCGGATTAACAGACTGATAACTCAAAACAAAACTCTTTGTAAAGCAGGAGACTTACATGAATACCTGATTGCCAGTTGAAAAGCCGCCATACAATACAGGGCAGATTGAACAAGAAGGCCTGTATCATCAGTATGAATGGAACCCATTGATAGTAATGGATCTTTCGGTCTTCACGGTCCGCTAAGTTTACGGGCACATTAACTTCTCTGGTGGGTATGAAGTACGTGCTGGTCACCCAACAAACAGATTCAGCATACTCCTCTTGAGCACGTGTGAACTCTGTCGGGACCCAACAGGCGATCGGTTTACCAATGTACTGCCGAGCTGAAATGACGAGGGTGAAGATCACCAAGAGTAGTGGGGTAAACGTGTGACTGAATCGATCGGAGAAATCGTCGTCCCGACGGAACTTTCCCGCATCAAGTTTAAACTTTGTCAGACCCGCGAAAAAGTGCGTATCCATGTGGAATTAGCCGTTCGGCAAAAGCGGCCCAGAGTAGGAATCCCTTGAGAAGGTTGAAACCTCTGTGTAAAGTGAATAAATGAAACCAGGATCTGCGCTGCGATGCATCGGGCAACGAGTTAGTTCACAAAACCTTTTCTGGATTCCTCGCCCATGTTATTAGTCGTTTGTTTGCCGGGTTTAGAACCAACCATCTTAGATATTGAGCAACCATACACTGTTGCTAATTAGTCCTGAGCGCGGTGTGGTTAAACGCGTGTACTATTTAAATGACACACTTATCTCTGTGGCAATTTCATGCGCTTATATTGCCCCAGGGATCAGTCAGTCATTCAGTCAGTCCGCCAATCAGTAAGTCTGTCCGCGTGCCTTTTGTCTACCGTGGCGTGTGCGCAACGCTCCGGGGACAATTCGTGCCCACACATGTAATGTGTCTTCCATTGTACTCCAATTTGTCCTAGCTCACTCACTTGTGCGACATCATTACCGCTTGAGTCAGAGCTATTGAAATTCAAGTTTAACGTGATTTGTTTTCACATTTTTATCGCGACTACATTGTGTGTAAAAGACCAAATTGAAATTCCATACTAATAAATGGGATGAGATAGTCTTTTTTATACATCCTGATAATATCGCGCTCATAAGAATGTCGACGACGGCGATTACTGTTTCATGCAGTACGGCAACTACTGGCTTGTTTCAGCAGCAACAGTACAAGGCAGACCATTGTGGACGATGAGTGGAAATTGTGAACACAATGACCCTTTGTTAAGCAGATGGATAATCGTGTTGAGAGCACTGGTTCACTGCGTGTTGTTTTTTGGATAAAGATAAAAAATTCTTGGGTTGCCTTGGAGGTCAGACGGCTGGAAAGTCCGGCGGGTTGCTTCCCACTGTATGTAAATGATGCCGACCTGGAGAAGAGATAAACTAGTAGGAAAGTGACTAACAGTAAAATATCAGAGAACAGTGTGCATTACGTTACAGCTAGCAGACTCTACTTATGTTACTATTTTTAGCAGGCCCCAGGCCCCAGGAAAAACACTCCTATTTTGTTCGGTTTAAGGTGACACTCATAGTATCCAAAAGAAACTTTAGGGATATCCCCAGTTTCTTTCTTGATACACTGATGAACCTGACATATTTATGTTGGAATATTGTGTAGTTTTGTAGAACAGGCGACAAGAAACAAGAAGACCAATGTCAACTGTCAGATATCATCGTCATTTCCATTGACAGCATTACCAGAAAAAACATCTGGTGCTTACTGCCGTATAAACATGTCAGCTGATTCGAATGAAGCCCTATGATGGAAAGAAGAGAAAATGTAGGATAAAGAGAGTAACTTAGAGCCAGCCTACCACAGTTATCTAAGGTGCATACAACCCCGACACTCAGTCGGACAATCCGGAGAGAAGCGGACGGTTTCAACGTAACTAACATAGGTTAGTCACCATGTCGTGCAGTGTTTGCTAAGATGTTTTTGTTTTTAGTTGGAATCAATGACTTTGTTGCTGCACGTAACATACAGTAAGTATTTAAGTTTTCACAACACGTGGGGAGTACTGCAATCAAAACTGGAGAGTTCAAGGACAGTGAATAAACCGAAGGGGGGACTATTCTGAGCTTGCCAGTAAATCAGCTAACTGTTGATCTGTTCTTGGTATGTTGATCAGTTTTGAACTTAGCTGTGTCAGTAAATAATTGCTGCAATCAGCATTCGAACACACACTCCAGGATGGTTCTCATCGGCAGGCTCTATTCCACTGATCAGTGGGTTGACATCTTCCACTGTAGTACGAACATAGGGAATGAGTCGGGTAGTGATTTGACTACAGGATGATGTGTCTGCAACTAGTAAGGGAGGCTTACTTATTCAAGACTGAACTTGGCGTCAAGAAAACCTCCGGAGACTTGTTAAGGTAGTTGCTGCCTTCCAGTCACAAAATACACAGTGCAAATTTTACGAGCACCGCATTGGTGAAAAGCAACGTTTATACCCGATCAGTGTTCCTGACCACTTCAAATTTCCAAAGTCAATCGAAGGTGCTGATTTAAGTTTCAAAATTGACCTTGAAGGAGCTCAGACCTAGATTTTATCCAGTTACCAGTAAGGCCTGACACATCCATCATCTTTTCATTGCAGAAATCACTCCTGTTCCGTACTTTTATTGTACAGGTTTAAGTAAACTCTTTTTTCAGCTTATATTTAGATCAACATTTAGCTATCTGTTTGGTCCACCTTTGAGAAAACAAACCTAAACTTAATGGTCTGATTGGATGGACGGCGCATAGCCGTTTATGTCAACGACATGCTGGTGCTAATACTACAGTGATATCAAGCAGCTCCAACGATGGCGGTTTCGTACGGTATTTTAACTTCGAAGGTGAATTAATAAGACTACCCGAGATATCAGCTCATAAGTGCCTCTCCCGAAAGTAGAAGTGTATTCGTTATTAAGCAAAAGTCCACAGTATTGTACCACAGGCTTGGTAGGCATGTCTGCTGTTTGGTCGCATCTAACTCTGAACTGACACTATTTCAGCTGTGTTAATTATCCTCAGAATGGTATGGTCGATGCTGCTTTGCGACAATACACCCAATCTAATTTCACTCTGATATAAAATTACATCAGTTGAGTCTAACCCATAAAGGTACCGGTTTGCTGCCTGCGCAATGTATCCTCTAGGAGTGCAATCGGAACGCCCCTACAAAAGCGAAAACTATCTGCACTTACATGCTGACTAAAGACTGTTTCGGTGCAGTATCAATTACCGGAACAGATGAAACGACTTGTCGTTCACATGAAAACCAGCCCTCAAAGATGGTAGATCACATTGCTGTGGCTTAGCTAAATTACTGATTTTCATCCGTCCTTGGGTGGCTTCAGATGGCGCCCTTGTTTGCTGTTGCTTTCCAGTGAGCTTTCCAGGGGCTTGCAAGGCATGCGCAACTCGCCTGGCCATTGAGGAGCACTCGGACCCCGAAAAAACAACAGAACTACCAGAATCATCTACTGTAGTCTGTTTTGGGACAGCATGCCAGGTGATCTTGATGTTTACTCGACGGCACTGTCCGCAACCGTACAAAGTGCGGGGCGCTCAGTCTGTGGAATGTGTCCACGCACGAGATCTCCAGAAGCGCTGTAGAATTGCTGAAATCTGGGGTACATATTTCTCCTAGCCGAGAGGACAACACCACTCGACGAAATTTCGGAACTCAGATGAAAATGAACATATGAGCGGATCTAGAAGTTTCATGAATCCAGAGAGCTGAAGAGTTGGAGGGGGCGATAAACTCTAGAAGTATGCTTAAGTTATTCGAAATGATACTAAAATCAGACCAACTGAGGCCTCCGATAAGCGAAACAATCACTGAGAACTTTTTACTAATGTGTCAGAAGAGCACGTGATTTCAACGTCTGAGCACCTCCAGTGATAATTCAATTGGTCACCTCCAGTTTCTAAGCCTGATTCCTGACCGGAAAGCTTGCCCTGGACCATTAGATTGGAAGCTGCCAACGGCCCATAAAATAAGCAAATACATTTTTTCCTCAAACATTATCGAACTAGGAATTCTGATGAACCTCCATCTACCCATTTCGTAGAAAGGGGTGAAATACCCAGCCGGTGGTTGTCTAACTTAGTCGCACCTGTCTTTGCGAAAGGCACCATTTTCAAAAACAGTAATCGCAGAGAGTGTGACAGTCACGTAGGAATTAGATTGACCCAGATCGATTGCGTCCTTTGCTGAGAATTACACACAGGATTCTGGTAGGAAGGATGTTGCAGTGACCACATCTTTATACACACGAAATGCGTACAGCTGCCCCACTATCTTGGTGTTTCTTGATTCCAAGAGTGCATTCGATTCTGTCTCAACGCACTTGTCCGACAGGATATGCCGAAGAAATTCATGAATATCCGGTGTTCATCTTATTCTCAAAATTGTGAGGACGTAAGAATGTATGGAAAGCTCCCTAGAAGCTTTTCAACAAACAGCGATATCCCATAAGGATGTCCACTGTCTTCACTTTTGTTTACCATCTGGTTACTGAATTAACTGGGTGAATTCTGGAAGGCCCCTAAAACTGCGGTCTTCAGATCTTTCCCACAAAGAACATTGTTCATCTTGAAGAAACGAAGGAATTGTAGGCATTACTTGAAAAAAACAATCAACTCTAGCCACTTTTTCAGAATGTGCTTTGTACCCAAAATGTGAAATGTCTTACTACAAAACGAGCAGCTATTGAGTGTGCATCTAAGTATTCGAGGAGAGAACTAAGAGAAATATGCCTATCTCAGTTCGAATTGGCTTTAGTGGTAGCGTGACAGTCAAATCATATGATCCCAGAGAATATTTGCATCAGATGGACTATGTTGTCGTATGCCGAATAGAGAAAACCAATACAATAGAGCTGCGTAATGAATCGATTTAAACCGAGATGAAACAGTGGTTAAAGCGCGAATTTACTGACCGCAAGATCCGTGGTTCGAGCTTGACCTCTGCCTCTCGACTTCCGCTGTCTAAGCTTGGGCAGTTTTGCAGTATCCCAGCCCGTGCCACCTTCTGGAGTCATGGCAGTTAGGCACCGAAAGGGTGCTACAGCTGAACGAATGCAAGTGTGATCAAAAAACAGGTTTCTGGGGTGGAATGCATTAAGTGGCACGTCTTCTCGTGTGCTTTGTCTGGAGAGCTACCGTTTGTCGAGAAGAGTATTGTTTCCCGTGCCGAATTCGAAGCGACGATAAGCAAGCTGGACAGAATATGACTTGCTAGAGTAGAATCAGGGATTTTAAGAAACATCTGGGCTGCTGCACTCTAGGATGGGCCACCTGACGCCGGATGAGCTAAACTGGATACAATGAAGTGCTTGACGGATCATTTCTTTTAGTGGCGTTCACGTTATAAGCCTCTGTCCAGCTAGTCTCGTTGAGTGCCCGGGGTGGAGATATCTCGGATTTTTTTGCCAAGTTGGTTCCAAATCGCTCTCGCTGTC